TCGTCCTAGTGTGACGTCATCGTCCTAGTTCACACGTCCTAGTCCACACGCCATCGTCCACGTGTGACGTCATCGTCCTAGTTCACACGTCATCGTCCTAGTGTGACGTCATCGTCCTAGTTCACACGTCCTAGTCCACACGCCATCGTCCACGTGTGACGTCATCGTCCTAGTTCACACGTCCTAGTCCACACGTCATCGTCCTAGTGTGGACAATGGCGCAGCAAGTTCCACAAGCGTGTGCACATGCAAAATTCCTCGATCTGCGTCATGTGGAAAATATCACAGCGTATGCGAGTGGCTGTGTTAATTTCCACACTTAATTTGCATTGTTCGCTTGATTATTCGAGGGATATTGCATTCGCACACGCTGTGAAACTTGCTGCGCCATTGTCCACATGTGACGTCATCGTCCTAGTCCACACGTCATCGTCCTAGTGTGGACGATGGCGCAGCAAGTTCCACAGAGTATGCGGCAGGCTTTAGACTGTTGGCAATTAACTTGTTTACGAGTTTCTTATACGCAGTGCATAAAGTTCTGGCATATAAGAAACAATTAATGTTAAGACCAATGTTGAGACTAATTTTGTTTCTGACAACGGGCCCTTAGTAGGTTTACATACACTGATACAGGGAGTACGGAAAATTCCATTTGGAAACAGTTCCATGTAACAAAGCTATCACAGCTGTGGCACATAGTTTTTCTATTTTAAAAGTGTGGTCTCTCTAAATGACTTGTAGTATTCAACAAGCTTGTTTCAGCTCTGTATTGATACTGATTTTTTCTTTCCTTGTTATCCATGGCTTTAGGTACGTGTTGTTTATAGCAATCTGGTATTGCGAGTCTTGGTCACAAGGTGCAAAAATGGTAGAGGATGTGGTATAATAAGCAGCCGTGCAAAATAGCTGGGCCCATATGACCCACATTTTCTGATCAAGCATGGGTTCTCGAATTCGGTAAGTACATGTACTGCTCCTGTGTGTATAGTGAGCATTTCATCAGCGTTGTTCACCATGCTCAGTTGTATTTGTGTGCCCAAATATGTATGTCGCATAATTTTGACAGTGATTTTTTTTTCTTTTTTTTCAAAATATAATTGCCTTTTAGAAATGCTTGACTTGCAAATAGTTTGTGTTAGTAATCTTAACTGCGTGTTTTGTTAGGCAGAACCCAAGCAAGGTGTTTGAGGTTTTTACAGAAATTGCAGCTGGAACTGATACAGAAGGTATGTGATGTGTGTATAACCAATATATATTATATAGGTTCAATTATGTAGAAGTGTTCATAGCAAGAGAGGATGGGAAATTAGTCAGAAACGATGATTGTGTACTGGGAGTGTATTCCCACATGTAAACATGTTAAATTGACTGTTTGCTTTGCTTTGCAGAACCATGGATTCTGCAGAAGTATCCTGCGGACTTTGATGAAAAAGTAAGTGCATAATCCAACAGAAAACGATGGTCTGTCTAAAATGTGTACACACCTTCAATGACCTTAAATTCCGAAGAAACAATCAATATTGTATTAAATATTTTACAGTCACATTCCGATTCTTTTAAATGGTTTTTAAGGATTTAAACCTCTTAATATAAAAATGGTGTGAATGCCTTTTGTCACTAGAATTAGAAATAATAAAAAATATAAAATTTCACTAGGGAAACATTCCACAATGTAAACAATAGGTTTTATATTTTTATCTGACCTTTTGTTAATTTTACTAGTAATACTTTGTTTGTTTCAGGATGTCTTGAAGTCATTGCCCCGGTTTGCTTTCCCATGCAAGATTGATAGGTGAAAAGTCACATATAACAGAAACTATACATATTTTAGTATGAGTACTCAGTCCTGTGAAACATGTAAAACAAAAAAACCTATACTACATGACTCTGTATATGTGGTGTTAACAACTCTAGGATTGTAAATATCACCTAACAGATTAAGCTTGTTATAGATTTTGCAATACATGATGTTTAAATCTACAATAGTTGTGCATTTTAACAATTTATCTGCTATTGTCTAGTGTGATTGGAAGTCGATATGTTGTCTGCTATTCTAGCAATGTAGAATGTAATAAAAATTTAAAAGTGAGTAAACATTTTTCTGGTGCAGTTACCAATGAAACTAATAATTTTTATGTCTTATATGTAGTATGCAAAGTAATTGATTCTAAAATTGTTTTTATTGTAGCAATGCAGTGCAACTATTTTCATTTGTTGTCACAAACGTGGACAGTAAATTTGCTTTTGGATTCTGCCGTCACGCACCGAACTCTCAGACCTGCCTCTGTCTGTTAAGGTTGGTGGCCACATATTTCTGCGATCTTGTATAATAATTTATGTGTGCATCTTGGGGCCTGTGTTGTCCATGGTACCCCTTGGTTTTGGGGTTTCCCTTGTACTGTTGTATGACTTTTATACACAAGTTTTACTGTGCTAGGAAACCAAACTTCTGTTAGAGTGTTTGGAGTTAGTGTCACATACTTCCATTGTTACATGTTCGCAGTACTTAGAAATGTTAACAAGCTTTTGTGTGCTTTGTGTTACATGCTTTCAGTCATTGATGGGAAACTTGTGCTTTACAGTTACCTGCCATGGTTCGATGTGTTCTTCAAACTTCTCAATGCTATAGCCGATGCAATCAATTCCAGACAGGTACATATAGTATTGACTGCATCGTAGATACACCAAAATGCAAACATTTCCTTTACAAGAGAGGTACTAAGGCAACTTGCCTTTTTATTAACACTATTTGTGTCGCGTGGGGAGGTATAGATCACAGCATAGAATTTATGGGGAGTGCATCAAGGTCAACCAGGTAAGGCAGCCACAGCATTTTTTTGTCAAAGATATCATCCATTTTTGAGGCTCTGTGACAAGAAAATGGGCAGCCATGGCACTTGCTGTGTATGCTGTGGTGAAATTCTAAAATCTGCACTTGAGTTGAAATTGAGTTTGGTTGGTGCAACATGCTGTAAAGACAACTGTTCAGAAAGAAAAACTCGCTTGGTCTCTAGGTGGCACCACCTGTTATTGTAAGTGAGAAAATCTCATACTTCCTGGAAACGATATCGGTGCAAAAAGTATGAATCACAAAAGGTCGGGTTGTTTATAAAGCGTACGAGATAGCTTTGAGAGATCACGGAGACAGATCGTAGTATTACTAAGAGTTGCTCAACAACGTTTTCAAAACAACGATTACGAAGTCGCCCAAAGTAGCGACTGGGGATCTGAAACTTGCCTTGCAAGCAACCCTACTGACAAACAATCTTTTGATCGATGCCTTATGGCCTGGTTGGGTTTCGCGTCACTAGAAGGTACGAGATGGTGCCTCCCTCCACCTTATTTGGTTAGACAGAATGGCTAGAATATGTGCTATCGATGACATTGGTGACGTATAGAGACGCTAGCTGGGTCGCTTGGTGTAAATAGGAGTGTGGCGCTTCTTTTTGGTTGGTTAAAGCTAACTGTGTTGGAGAATTCTGTAAGTGCGTGATACGGGGTTCTTATCTCTTATATCTTTTTGGAAGTCTGTTCGAGTCGAGTTTCCACTGAGATAGACCTGTACCTTTTCATCTATAGTCTAGTATTAGTAAATCATTCGTTTCCTGTTATTTCTCATCTTTGTCTTCTCTCTAGTTTCTTAGCGTTCTTCCCTACGACTTCTGTGTGTAGTGCGCAATTCGCGTCTACATTGTTAAGGAAATTCTTTGATAACAGTCGCTTTCTCACTTGGTGGCGCCACATGTTATAAAGGAAGTCCTTCGCTAAAAGTTGCTTTCTCACTTGGTGGCGCCACGTGTAAAGAAAACTCATGAAATTCAGCTGGACGTGATGCGGCCATGATGCCGAGGCTCGCCGAGGATTGACACTTTGTGTCTTCCAATCACAGCCTACGCCGCACCTCCCTATAATATAATATAAGGTGGGGACATATATTACTAATATAGGGTGCCATTAACAGAAGTCCATCGGGACGTGGGAAAGACCCTCTAAAATTGTCTGGGATCTGGGAAAATTGTGTCAATTCGTCGGGATTTCAATTTCTGCACTAATATTTATTTAATTTTTTATTTTGAATTTTTTTTTTATTAATTATGCCCAGATAAATAATAGTATGTAAATATTAGTATTCATGTAGCGTTTGAAAACCGTAAGCATACTGGAATATTTCCTAAAAGCGTGTCTACTAATTTCCTGTGGAACTGGCGAATTGGGCATTTTATTCTTTAACTGGGAACTGGATATGGGGTGTTTTTTGCTGGAAGTGGAATGTACCCCCCCCCCCATTCCCACCACCCTCAATTATAGCAATTGCTATCATCTTGTTGAGATACAGTAATCACGCTGTTATATTATAGTTGTGTGTTCCCTCACAGATATAGAATATCTGTCAGTTTACATAGAAGATGAAGAATTAAGCAGCCTGAGACAGTAGGACATTATGTCTCTAACTTCCTATAAGAATTTCGCATGCAAATAAATTAGAATACAACAGGTAACGGATAGTGCGCGCTTTGTGTCGAAGTGGCATGCAGACATATCAAAACAGATAGATGGCAATCAATCATTGCTATGACATTCCAAATAACTATAAAACATACGCCAAACGTATTGTTAGATTTCAAAAGTTGAGGCTTTCATTTATTACATATAATTATAACAGCTTGTTTATCATACTTATGGTTAACAGTTAAACACTGATATCGTATTAATGCCACGGGTACAACTCGCGTAATACTATGTAGCTGAAAGATGTAGTTTGCTCTTCTGAATAGGAGATTGGTTAAGTCTTATTGCAAGATTGAAAGCTTCATACGTACCAGTAGCAAGTCACTTGAATTATTAAGCCTTACTGCCAAGATTTGTAGTATTATATGCTATTTATTTACAAGTTTACAACAGGAATTACTTTACATACTCTACGAAAAAAACTAATAATAACTGGTCTGTAGTTTAGCTTCTAAGTACTGTAGATTGAAACTTTCATACCAATTAGTAGCCAACTCTAGTTAATTTCTTATAATCGAGTGTATATACAGTCATAATTATTGTAATAATAATACAGTGGATATGAGTGCCAAATTATAAAAAAAGAAGAAAGTTATCACAGCGGATGGGCCGTAAACCATGATAAATAACTGACACTAAATGTAGTATCGTAACACTAGCCATCGCGATAACCGCATTCGTATCGCGCGCTCCGCGTTCCCTTGCGTCATGCTCTAAACTTTCCACTATCGACATCGCGTGTGGAACGTCGAGAGTATGCCTCTGTACGTGGTTTTGCGCCGTGCGGCCTTGTCGGCACGTGCGGGCTGAGCAAGCGGCTCTTGAATATCGCCAGCTCGAGTTGTCCTCGCCGTGGCCCGGCCTGAACGACGTGATTGGCAGTGCAGAGCCGCGGCGAGCCGCGCCGTCTCTCGGTCGCGACTGGTCGGCGCGCCCTCAGAAGGAGTTTGCAGACGAGGACGATGTGCGACGGCGTTGACGGCCGAGCCAGCAGCAATAGCCGGATCTGTCGGCCGGCGATGGCGGGCGACGGCTGTCGAAACGAGTCGCGGCACGCGGACAGTGCACGAGACGAGCGCGAGTGCTGCGCTGCGCGACGTTGATGGCTGTGCATCGCGGGAGTCGCGGCGTGCGCCGTCAGTGTCGTTCACGTGCGACGACGTGCGGACGCGTCGTGCCGACTACGCCCAGCGACATCGCCGTCGACGTCTCTCTGCAGCGTTGGCGCGTACGCGCTCGCCTCGGCGCGGCGAGCATGTGCTGCGACGATGCTTGACGACTATCCGACGCACGCCGCGTTGCCCATGGACGACGATCGGTTCAGGGCGGCGCGAGGTTTGCTACGCGGAGTTCGGAGATCGTCAGCGTCAAAACCACTTGCGACCGCCAGCATGAGCCACGCGATACCCGCTGACCCCTCGCTTGAACTTGCGTGCGTCGCGAACCAAGCTTCGGTTTGTCGCATGGTTTAATTCTGTAAAGGAAGATGTGGCGGTCCAAGTCATCACGATTGGACTTAATCGTACTGTTTCACCGTGTGGGAATGTGGGAAGTACTGAACCGCCCTGACAATAGTACATAGTCTACCCATAAACGTCGATAGAAATTCAGCCTTTAACACTAAATTCGTAGTTCGCATTACCGATTTTCACTGCGAGCCAATGTCCGTCGTTACACCGAGATCTATCTGGTCGCTATTCGACGCTTTGCGTTTGCGTTCGAGGCAGCGTGGCACCTACTTCTCTCGGCGTCTGTTGAAAGTATTCTCGATGAATCTTGTTGAGCTAATAATTCAATTCTCTTAGCTTTGCGCGGCTGTGCCTTGCCGGTGTGCGTCTACACAGTTGCCAAGTCAACGATTTTCGTCGGTTATCGGTCACTTAAAGCAGCTTCTCCGATTTGCGTTGCGTTGTGGTGCGAGGTCTCTATGGTCTGTTGCTATTCGATGACCGTACTGATGCTTATATACGTATTTTTAGTTTAATATGTGAAGCTCGCTTAATTCATATCTTATTTTAGGACATGCACGCTGGTTTTTTCATAAAGTCCGGTGATGTCCTCTAAACAGATTAACTAAAGGCTTCACAGTTGGTGGCCATCAAATGCTATTATGAGCGGCGCACCATTGCATGGCCGTCGCGAATCTATATAGAAACGTCTTCCGTCTCAATCTTTCATTGATCCGAGCTGTTCCTCAGCTGGGGGGGGGGCGGGGCGTTAACGATTGCTCGTTGTCGTGGTGCTGTTTGCACATGAAGTTCGTAAAGATCGACTTATGCTTGCCACGAAGGCTATTTCACGCTTTACACATCACGAGCATGCGCGACAACAAATTTAAGCAACATTTAATTACCCAAACGTAATTTTGTAGAATTTGGCCAACTAATCGCGTAGGTAATTAGAGCATATATAGTCATTCTTTGAAGTATGCCTCAATTGTGTGATTGACATTAGTGTCCAAAGTTTCTGAGAAAAGTAGGCCTACTATACGTGTTCTTATCACGTATAAGAACACGTTATAGTAGGCCTACTTTTCTGCAAACTTCGACAGTAATGTCAATCACAAATTAATGGCATCTTCAAAGAATCGACTTATATATGCCTCTAAATTACCCTTTGCCCATAGAATATGAAATTTCAATCCGGAAAAATTCACGTTTTCTCCGGATTTTTAAATGAGCCCACCGGCACACGCTGGTTGGAACTTGCGTGGGCCAATCGTCCACCTAGGACATGGACGTGTGGACAAGGACGTGTGAACTAGGATGATGACGTCACGTGGACGATGACCGCAGCAAGTTCCACAAGCGTGTGCGCATGCAAAATCCTCGATCTGCGTTGCATGTGGCAAAATAAGTCACAGCGGTGTGCGAGTGGCTGTGTTATTTTCTGCACTTAATATCGCATTTTGCCTTGATTATTCGAGGGCATAGTTGCCGCACACGGCTGATGAAACTTGCTGCGCCATCATCTACGTGTGACGTCATCATGCCTTCCACAGCGTCCTTGTCCACACGTCACGTCCTAGTGTTGGATGATCTGGTTGGCCGCAGCAACAAAAAAGAAAAAAAAAAAAAGGAAAAAAAAAAAAAAAAACGCGAGACAGAAAGTTCCAACAGCCGTATGCGGGATGCAGGCTTTAG